CATCTGAAATCACACTATGTGGAAGTTTATAGTATACTTTGTGGGGTTTTGTTTTAAACACAAATGAAGTCATGTTTAAATATTATTTTATAACTTGCCCTTTTCATTTAAAAATTTGAGCCCTTCCCCTTATAGTACACAGTGACTTCCTTCACTCTTTTTAGCAGCCACATAGTGGTTCCCACCCTGTCAAAGGCTTCTTTTTAAACCATTCTCCTTTTGATGAATATTTACACTGCTTTCAATATTTTGCTATTAAAACCTGGGCTGCAACAAGTATCCTTGGTGTGCTCCTCAGTGCTTGGGTACCAAGCGTACCAACGTTTCTCTAGGATGGATAGCTGGAAGTGGACTTGCTGGCCTCAAATGGCAAGTGTATTTTGGAATTATAATAGATCCTGCAACAGTATACATTGGTGCCTGTTTCTTCATGCTCTCAGGAACATGGAATAGTACCAAAGCTTTAAAGTTTCTACCAGTCTGATAGGTGAATGTTGTATCTAATTGTTTTAATACCACTGAATTTCTAATCATCTCTGATCTATTTTAAAGCTTTTTAATGGTTCCTTTGTCGTAAAGTTTAAAGGATTTTTGGTCAAATTTACCAGCCTTTTGCTATGGCTCTGACCTGACTCCTATTTAAAATAGATGTCATTCTCCAGAAATTATAAAAACAGTCACTCACATTTTCTTATAATATTTTCATGATTTATTTTTTTCCTATTAGCTCATAATCTATCTACAAGTTTTATTGCCACGTGTGAGAGAAAAGCTTACATTTTAAAACCAGGTGGAAAAATAACATGAAACAAAAAACAATGATGAATAAAAAAGAAATTAAAATAAATATACCAAAACAATAATAGCGGTTGTCTTTGGGTAGGGAGGCTAAATGTGATTTTTTTTCCCTTGCATCGTCTGTATGTTTCAGATTTTAGACAGTATTGGTTATATTTATAACACATGGTGGCTTTTTCTGTTCTTTTTCTATTCAGTACAGTAATCCTTTTTCCCTTTAACCATGGGGTTTGGTGAGGGTTGCCAATCACAGCACTCTCCCCTCGGCCACAGATGTGGGCTCATGATCCAGTCTGGGCCAGCCACGGTCCTTGGCTGGGATGTCCTCTACTGCTGCATGTGGCAAACAGCTCCTCACCCCTGGTCACTAGGCTGATGGGTGTGTAGCCAGAGCTGCTTAGAGACCTGGGTTTAGCTGCCCAGGTAGCAAAACAAGTGACACACACACACACACTTGGAGAGACAGACAGACAGACAGAGGACCACACATCATGTAAGCCCCGGACCTAATTTTCCCCACGCTCAAGGTCTATCTGTGTTTGTTACCCAAGCTGATAAATCCCTTCCCATCTTTTTTTCTTTAGCATGAGTAGAATTTCTGTTACTTGTACCAGAAGGGTCCTGGATGGAAAAAGCTATAGGAAAAGGAAAATGAGAGAAAAGTGTCAGAGACATGAAAATATCATTAGTAAGAAGTAAATATACATCTTGGACGGAGGCAATCCTTGCTTTGCCAAGGGGTGTTAATTCCATCAATATAAAATAGCAACTGCTCTGTTTGCAGCTGTTAGGGCATCTTATTACTGAAGAGATAGCTAGCAAAATAAGATGTTAGTAAGCATATGAATAATTTCGTAATTTGTGCATTCCCAGAAACCAGGGAGGGCCCATGAAATTAAGGGTGATGTTAATAAGAACAGAGAAGGCAGTCCTAAGATATAACACTCAAATTGGCTTAGAAGAGATGTCTATAAATAAACATATCTACATACATTTGTAGGCATACTTACTAGACTCCATTTGTGGGTTTTAATAATGGGCATTTGGTTTAATCTTAAAACATACTTCAGGTCAGCACATTACAGAACTCGAGAGTTGAAAGATCTCAGAGAGAAAAGGCAACTCATTCATCCTGGAGCTGTGAACCTGGGAGAGATTAGGAAATTTAACTAGGGTCTCATGGCTAGTAATCCCCAGAGCAGGATTCTGACCCAAGTCTCTGGGATTCTAGTCCAGTATTCTTCCTGTTGCCTTTCAAGTGCCAACAGGAGATGACTAGAGTGCTCAGGAACAACAAAGACAAAATCTCTCTCTCTCCACACACACATATCCCAAAATAGCAAATATGTGTCACATAAAAAAAGTAATTCTATCATTTTCACATGCACTAAAAAAAAAAAAAAAAATCCAAGTCTCTGGGAGGTATTTTAAAGAACTGTGTAGAAAGAACATTGTGTTGTTAAAGAGGGTTTAAGTTAATTGCTCATGGAAGAAATGTTCACCTGGGTGGAGGTTTACGCTTGACTTCTGCAGGCTTTCAGCCTGAAAGTTGTAATAGTTGAATGATTCTCTTAACCTTAATCTATTTTTCATATGGTGCGATGACAGTCATAATCTGAAATCATTTTTAAGTTTCCCAGAAGCGCGGAAAAACTAACCCAATCTTACTTTTATAACCTGTTTAAAGGTCAAAATTTTACTTCTAGTTTTAAAATAATTTTTTAAAGGAGGTACCGCTCTCAAGGAACCCAAAAAGTGAAGGTTCTCAAGGATGTAAAGAGCCATTGCTGGTGATAAAAGTTCGTTGTACTTCTGCCCTGGCAATGGCCACGCTCAACGATTTGGAGAGAGTGATGACTATTTTTCTGAATCTTGAATTTTAAAAAACTGAACAAAATGTCAAATCGAGCCAGATTGTCTTTGTACAATTTATCAGTATGTGTGAAAAAAAAATGCTTTGCATATCTTTGGGGCTCAGAACTCAAAGCATTAAGAATCATTTAGGATCAGAAGAAACCAGGCCCAAGGCAGCCAGTTGCTCTGTTATAGAATGCTGCTTCTCATGCCTCAAAGCCCACCTTGGACCAAACCTCTTTTGTGACATTAATGGTCCCAAGACCAAGGCCAGTCTTTCTCTCCCATCCAGAGGGCAGCCTCTCAGGCCCAGTGGAGGCAGGGAATGGATGTATACGGGCTCTGCCGAGCCTGTCTAAGAGAAAGAACAAGCTGATTTCAGAGCACATACAGCGATCTGAAAAGAAAGAACAATGGTGCAAATGAGCCCTTCTTCCATTAAACCACGAACACCAATCACTGACTCACTTAACTCCGTCTTTCCTCCCAGTTCTCAAGGAAACATTTACTCTCTTTCATCTGTGGCAATTTCAGACATAAAAAGCGTTATCTTTGGCCTGACCACAGCCGCTTGATAAGATGTGGTGGGACTTTCAAAGAATGTTTTTGCTAGTTACTGACAGTTCTGAGCTTACTTAAAAGAGACCTACCTTGTCATGCTCTGAGAGTACCCCAGGCCACCTTGTTTATATACCACCATCAGTACATCTCCCATAACAAGCCCTTATACAGAGCTTCCGTGCGCCAGGTACCCTTCTAAGCTGGTTATTAACTCATTATCCTACAAACACTTTTGCTATTAAATAGGTACTACTGTTATCCCTATTTTACAGATAAGGAAACTGAGGCACAGAGAAAGGATGGTAAGTTCCAGGACCCAGGGACTCTGGCTCCTAAGTACCTGACCACTAAGCCACTGGTCGCACACCTCTGTCCTCCTCCCCCGCACCTGTCAGCCAGCCCCGTGCTCCTGATCTCTACTCTTCTCCATCAGAGAAAGACCTTGCTGCCTCTCTCCAGCATCATCTCCCGAATGGACCACGGTAAACTTCTTGTAATTGGGATGAAACCACTTCAGTGACCCTTCTCCGTCCTTCCTAAACACTCACAGATAGTGATGAGTTCACTTCCTGGCTGGCCCCTGCTGTTCCATGCTTTGACCAAACCCACCCATTTCTGAATCTCTTAATGCTCACACTGTTTCCTCGCTCTGAATTCCTGAATGGAATATTTACAAACGAACAGTTCAACGGGGAAAATGCCAGATCTGAAGAGAGTTTGAAGATGGGTCTGGCGGTGGAGCCTGGAGGGGTTCAGCGGAGTGGGTGTTGCTGAGAAACCGGGTGGAGAGAACTCCTTAGAGACTTTCCCTTTTGTCACCACACCACGAAATACTGTAGGAGCTTTGGGAATCGAAAGGAAGGGGCGGATTCCAGAGGCATTTCAGAGAGAACAATGGACTGGACTTGTGGGCAACTGCCTCGAAGGATAAGGGAGACAAGGGAGTTAAAATGATACCGCTATTTTGGGCCCGAATGATTATAATGAGAGTGTCATTACCTGAAATAGGTGTATCAGGAGGCTAATCTGATTCAGGGAGAACAAAAAGTTCATTTTAGGAGCTTTGTCATCATCCCAGTGGAAATGTTCAACAGTTGGAAGACACCATAAGCGAGAATTTAATGAGCTCCCTTCAAGTGTCTGACAGAGTGCAGGATGTTAAGCCTCCAACAGTAATTACAACGAAAGCGAGCTGAGGGCGAGGACATCATTTACACTGGCCTCACGGAGGCACCTGCCAGGGTACCTGATGAGTTCGATCCTCCCCAGCCCTCACCTATAGAGGCGGAATTTGGCACATGCTTGGAAGGTAGAGAGTATGGCTTACTACAAAGCCCGACCCCAAAGAGTGGCAAATGACTTTTCTTTGTCACACCTAAAAATGCTCAGAAAGTGACAATGTCATTAGTTACATGGCAAACTGGTTATGTGCTTGGTTTCCAGACTTGATCTTACTTAATATTAATTTTTTTAAATAGCAAATTCAAATAATCTCGACCCCGTGCTCCTGTTTCTCCAAAGGCCTTGAGGGCGTCGATAGTCTGCAGCGTGAATGGTGAGAGCAGAAGGCTGCTTGGAATTAGCAGTTCTGATCAGGCGCTCAAGGTAAAAACGCAGAAATAAAAGGTAAAACGATTTGCAGACCCAACACAGTGGCAAGACACCTCAATCGGCAGGGCCTAGGATGGCGTGTTCAGAGAGACTGAGAGATGGGCAGGCGATGTCATGAAACAGTATTTCAAAGACCCATATGAGTCTGATGATTCCTATTCGGAATTGACCCCAAATCTCGCAGGGGCGCCCCGTCCCCGATTCCACAGCAGCTCAGAAGTAGGCGCCACGCACAGCACAGACCATTACAAGGACTTGCGGCAAATCTCTTCCCCCAAAGTCTGACTTCGACCGACAACCTCACTTGCAGCAAAGTCCACCCTCCTCCCTCCGAAGGGAGTGATCGGCCCCGGGGAGCGTCTGCGCCAGCGGCTCGGAAGCACAGATTGTCGGCGGCCGTGGGTAGGGGAAATCAATCCAGTCCGGGTTTTGTCTGCACGGGGGCCCGAGGGCTGCGAGGACGGGCTCGCGCGCAGGGGGGCGCGGGGGACACACACGGCACAAACAGCTCGCGCCCGGGGCCGCAGGCTAGGCCCGAGCGCGCGGGCGCAGCGGCCCGGAGAGGCGCGGCCCGGCCGCCGGCCGCATGGAGCGCAGAGCGGCCCGCGGCTCCGGGGCGGCGGCGGCGGCGGAGGCGGCAGCGCGCCGCTCGCTCACACCCACCCCCGCCCGCGGCCGCCGCGCCGCCCCGTAGCCGCCGGCGTCCCCGCGGGCCGGGCCAGCGTCTCTGCAGCCAGCGCCGCTGTCGCCGCCCGGGAGCGGCTCCCGCGCCCCGCGCCCCGGGCGCCGGCGACCCCCGCGGCCGCCCGGAGGAGGAGGACGAGGAGGAGGAGGAGGAGGAGGAGGAGGAAGAGGGGAGCCCGCGGCCGGCTCCGCGCGCCGGCAGCCCGCGCTCAGGCATGCAGGCGCGGCGTCTAGCCAAGCGCTCCAGCCTGGGCAGCCGCCGGGGGGGCGCCGCGCCTCAGCCGCCCGGCCCGCGCGCCCCCCGCGCCCGCCGGCGAGGGCGCCCCGCCCGGCCCCGCGCCCCCGCGCCCCCCGCGCCCGGCCCCGGGAGCTGGAGGCCGCCGCTGCCGCCGCCGCGCAGCGCCGGGACCGGCCCCCCTCGGGCCGCCGGGGCCGCCGCCTCGTCGCCGGTGCTGCTGCTGCTCGGGGAGGAGGACGAGGACGAGGAGGGCGGCAGCCGGCGGCGCCGGGGGCTCGGGCGCGTGGAGGAGAAGCCCCGAGGGGGCGCGGAGGAGGAGGATGACGACGAGGAGGACGAGGACGAGGAGGTGGTCGTCGAGGTGGTGGACGGCGACGACGACGACGAGGACGGCGAGGAGCGCTTCGTGCCCCTCGGCCCCGGCCGCGCGCTCCCCAAGGGCCCGGCCCGGGGCGCGGTGAAGGTGCGTGCCGGGGCCGGGGGCGCGCGCGGGACCGGCCGGCCCGGGAGGGGGACGTGCCCGGGACCCGGGGCCCGGCGATCGCGAGCCCGGCCGGGAGGGGTGTGTCCGGCGGCGCCGGCGGAGCGCGGGCAGAGCGGCCAAGTGCCGCGCTCACGCCTCGGTCCCCCGGCGCCCCTCCCAGGCGGCCGCCCCCTGTCCTCAAAGGCCGGGTCGGGGGGCTGTCTCGCGGGGGTGCAGGAAAGGGACGCTTCTCCCTGCTGGGGTGGGGAACTTGGAGATGGGACGAGGGAGGCGCTGGTTTGCGCCTGGGGGCACGGGCGAGGGGGGAGGCAGTGAGATTTTATTCTTCCCCGAGGAAGCAGGAATGTCCCCTGCTCCTTCTGTTGAGGGCTGCTGAAGCTTATAGAAACTAGCAGCAGCTTCTCTTGTCCACCTCTCGAGCCCTTCTTCACCCGAGAACAATTGTTGATGAGTTTGCAGCACCGGCGCTTGTGAGGGAACCGGTGAGCGCGGTACAGCAAAAGCCAAGCGCCTGGTTTCTACAAGCATTTTACCGGCAGCTTTTGGCAGACCCCCCAACCCCGCCTCCTCCGCCCTCGCCGGTTTAAACTCGACATTGTTTAGCATTTTGGGTTTGTCTCTCCTCAAAATTGCAAATGCAAAAAAAAAGAGGAAATCAGGAAAAGGTGGGGAGTGTGTGTGTGTGTGTGGGGGGGGAATTTGGCATTTAAAATGGATGTGAGTTTCTGCTAAGAATTCTAGCGAAGTCCCTTGTGCACTGAAGCACCGAGAGATCTTTCGGTTTGTGTATCTTCAGGAGATAAGGGGTTTATTATTGCACAACTGACTGGCTGGGCTTTCAGGCATGCGATTGGACAAAGCAGACCACGTTGAGGTTGATGCACTGTGTATGTTGCTAAGAAGTTTTGAGGGCAGCAAGTGGTAAGCGGTGGAGGGAGTGATTTTTCTCCAGTGGTTCTGAAAATCAACTGGAGTTTTCAGAAGATCTTGGTATATCAGGAAGAAAAATACATAAACAAGTGAGCTTAATAGAGAAGAGACTATTTTTTTAAAAAAATATTCTGGGGCTTGCAAAAAAGTCAGTTCCTCGAAGCATGAAATTGCAGATCCCAAAATGTTAAACATCAACATTTAGAATAGTCCCAGAGTAGACATGGGCACAGATTTTTTTGCTAGACCACCCTGGAAGTACCAGCTCTGGAACTGAGAAATTTTCAGTAAGTGGTCATTTGGGATGATAGTTTTTGACATTTGGTTGTTGGAATGCAGACCATGACCACACTCATGACCGTTGGCTGTTGAAAACCTGCCTTGGATAACTACAGGATATAGCTGGGTTTGGAATTAAGTCACGTGGCATCAGTGACATTGATTAACAAGAGTGGTGACTCCTTAACATTTTTGTCCAGAAATGCTGAAAATGTGTCTTGTGGTTTGAGCAGTGGTTGCACAATTTGTGATAGAAAAATTAATTATAATTTATGCTCTGTGATTAAAGCAAATGCAATGTTGGGAAAAAAGTCAATAAAAACAGAGTAACTAGGGTGTGATAATTCACATTATCAGAAAAGATTTTTCCCATCTCCAAACAAATTTCCGTTAAATTCTTTCAAAATGGGCTTCATTTGATAGTATTTTGGTTTGCCCACAACTTTTCAGAAATTTATATATTTAGTAGTTTGGAGTATAATTTATATAATTTTTTACTGCTTTAAGCCATCTGAAGAGATTTTATAATGGAATATGACAGGATCATTTTATTCTAATGCATTTAAGAATGTCAACATCTCATATATATTCTTATGCGTTCATTTATTCAAATATTTATTGAGCGCCTACTGTGTGCCAGCTGCTTTTCTAGAACACAGCAGTAAGCACCTTCCAGATGCTCATGTCTAGTGAGAAAAGTCATAGCAACAATTGAACAAATAAATAAGCGTGGCGCTTGAGATTGTGATGCATGCTATGAGGGAAATAGTGATACCTCAGAGTCTGGGAGGAAGAAGAGAAAGCTGCTATGGGGAAAACCTCCCCCAGGAGGGGACATTCGAACTGAAATCTGAGACCTGCAGCTTGAGAAGAACATCTTTCCAGGAAGAGGGAACAGCAGTTGCAAAAGTCTTGGTGTTTGAAGGAGAAAAGGTGAGCGTGGCTGGAACTTGGTAGGTAGGAGATGTGTCAGGGAGGCAGGTAGGACCCAGCAACGTGGAGCCTGGGAGCCTTTATAAGTAGGGTGTGAAGTCCTTGGAAAGTTTTAAGTAGTAAAGGCATAAAGGTGGTTTGTATTTTTGCAAAGGTCATGCCATGTGGAGCGTAGAGGACAGCAGAAGCAGGGAAACCAGCTGGCTGGCTGTCTAAATGAGCAGTGAGGGCAGTTTGGACTGGGTTGACGGGAGCAGAGGCAGAGAGGAGTGGACAAACTCAGGATCCATTGTGAAGAGCGAGCTGTGAGAACGTGCTGATGGATTAGGTGAGGGGGTGAAGGAAAGAGAGGCATCAGGATGAGACCCTGATGTAAAGGTTGGTTAGATGTGCCGTTCGCTGAGATTGGGAAAACCTGGGAGAACCACAGATTTTTGTGGGAGAAATCAAGTGTTCTGTTTTGGACATGTTAAGTCTGTGATGACGATTAGACATCCAAGTGGAAACTGCAATTAGGCAGATGGCTGTAGGGTGTGAAGCTGAGAGGGTAGGTCAGGGCTAGAGGGAAAAAATTGGGAGTCATCAGCGTGTTGATGTCATTTGAAGCTGGGGACTAGACAGGGAGTGCAGTCTGCCAGGAGCAGAGAGCCGCAGGCCGGACCCTGGGACACAGCATTGTTTAAGTCTGGGTGTAGAAGGAGAGGCCAGCAGAGACGAAGGAGAAGCAGCAGCCAGAGAGGTTGAAGGAAAACTAGAAAATGTAAAATCCAGTAAGCCAAGCCAAGAGAAGAGAGAGTTCTAAAAGTAGGGAGTAGTGAATTGTGTTGAATACTCCTGGGATTTTGAATAAGATAAGGATAGAGACGTGTTCACTTAGATTAGATCATGTGGGACTTAATGGGATCCTTGAAAGAACGTGAAGTCAGTGATGTGACTGGAGTGCACTGAGCAGTGAATGGGAGGTGAGGATATAGCGAGACATATGAAAACTCTTTTAACAAGTTTTCTGGGAAATGAGAGCAGAGAGAAGGGGAGTATCTGGAGGGCATATGGTCTAGATTTTTCTTTAGGATAGGATACAGTAGACCCCAGTGTAATGGTTACAGCGTGATGGGAATTACCTCGTAGAGGGGGATTGTGTTCGTTTTCTATTGCTGTGGAACAAATTACCTCAAAATTTTTGACTTACAGTAGTTCTCACAGTATCTGTGGGTTGAGAGTCCAGGCTCAGCTTCACTGGGTCACTGCTAAGTCTCTCAAGGCTGCAGTCAAGGTGTTAGGTGGGCTGTGTTCTCATCGAGAGGCTTGACTGGGGAAGAACTCACTTCTAAGCTCACTTGGGTTGTTAGCGGAATTCATTGCCTGGCATCTGTAGGTCTGAGGGTCCCAGCTTCTTGCTGGCTGTTGCCTGGAGGCTGCCTTCAGCTCCTAGAGCCCTGCTCCTCCACGTGGGCTTCCTCAGCACGGCCTCTTACTTCATCAGCCAGCAAGGAGAATCTTAGCACCTGTCTGCTCGCAAGATGGACTCTCATATGATGCACTGTGATTGCAGGAACAGTACTCCATCATTTTCCCCATATTCTATGGGTTACAAGTGAGTTATGGGTTCCAGCCACACTTCCGGGGAGGAGAGATACAAGGGCATGAATACCAGGAGGTGAGGATGACTGGGGGTAACCTGAGGGAGAAACCAAAGATGCAGACGGAAGAGGGTTAAGTGCAGGAGGAAAGTCCCTGGAAAAGCCATGGGTTGGGGTGGGGGAGACCTGTAACCCAAGCACAACCTTTCTTCTGTTGAATTAGAGAGAAGGTGGAGAAAATGAGTCTGGATGTGGGTAGTTGTATACGGGATGCTGGGCAGAGGAAGTAGTACCTGTCTGATGGCTCCGTTTTTCCCCACGCAGCAGGAGGGAGGGTCATCAGCTGAGGGTGAAGGAGACTTGAAGTAAGAGCTGGAGACATGAAGTAGTGTTGTGGGAGAGTAGGAGAGCACGCATGCCAGGGAAATCAAATAGAGTTGCAGACAGTATCAAGGACCCATCTGATGCTTGTGGTTTTACATTTCTGGTGCAAGCAGTCTGTCTGGGTATGTGATTTTCTCAACTTCATTCCACTGACTCATGCATAGAGTACTAATAATACAAAGAATCCTAGGTCATGTTTATTGAGTGCCTACTATGGTCAGTACAAGGCTAAGTGTATAGTCTCATTTAAACTTCATTACATATTCACAAGTCAGGCATTGTTATTATCACCTTCGTTTTGTGAAAGTGATAAGCAACTTAAAGACACACAGGTGTGAGGTGGCAGAGCTGGGTTTGAGCTCTGAGCAGTCTAACGCGAGAGCACGCACCCTTCTGTCTCACACTACACTGTGTCTTGTAGACAAAGCAGAGAGCTTGATTCAGCAGGGATGGGGTTTAGCCAGGTGGGTGAGCAATGGAGAGAAAGAGAGGAAGATATTGTTGAGGAGGTTGGCACAGCTGTGACTGTCATGATGGACTGGGGGAGCTAAGAAAAGTAAGGACAGGAGGGGTGAGGGGTAGTGAATAAGTCAGGGGTCCGTGGATTGGAATAAACAAAGAGTTAACCAATCAAATCAGTAAAAGAATGGGAATGAAACGCAGGACAATTTGGGTTCCAAAATAACGTTAATACAAATGAATAGTTGCTGAGAACTGGTGAGCCAGGAACTGTACTGAATGCTTTATATGGAGGAGGATTGCGTGAGAAATTATGATTTGGGGAATCAATATGGCCCCATTCTCCAGCTGAGGATACTGACAGTGAAATAGCACACCTGAGGCCGGATGGCCACAAGTAGGGGCCTCGTTCAC